ACGACGCTCGTTACGTCCAACCGTGCTCCACGAATGCATTCAGTGTTGTGTGCCCTTTGTTCTTTGCCTCGCGAGAGAACGCTCGAAATATTAACGCGTTTGAAATTGGTGGTGGTTGCCGCCAGAACCCGCAACGAAAAATACTAAATATATGTATATTAAGTAGATCGATGCAAAAAATAAAATTTAAGTAAAATTTTAATACTCTCGAGTATTTTCAAACGAAAAATAAAGAAAAATTTCTTTTTAAGTATGTTTGTGTGTGTCTATGAATATGAAAGAAAAGATACGGTTATTATTTTTACAATAAAAATGCTTGAAATTTTTATTCGATAAATATGACAAACTTTTTGCATCAATTTAATAATTTCCGTCTTTGGAAACTACCTTTGTACATTTTCTATTTCTTTTTTCGTTCTCTGTAAGGGTCGATGGTATTTCCGAGATATAGAAATGGATGATTTCTACCCTGACTTTGTATCAAAATTACGTATGTACGTAATGCGTACGGCGCTCGATAGCCGCGATAGCCATAGGACTGACGATATAATGGCGATATGTCAACGGAGTAGTTTTCCTACGTAAGTTCTTGTATTCGGAATGTCACTCAATAATTTGCATATTCTTATATCGTCAACGATAGGAAACACACAATGCAGTGTGTGATATCGAACGTATATATACCGTGAACGCGATTCTTTTGATGCAAACTCGCTTCGCGAAAAATCGTTAGAACATGTTTCACGAAATTAAGACTCACCTAAAAGTTTCGTGACGACTGCGCCCTGCTGATTTAAGGACAACACGTGATTAGCAAGATCATTATAATGCCTTAGTGCTCCTAATCCGTGCGACAATTCGATTAGACGTTGCCGCGATGCACCGCCATTATTTCCGCTCGCAAACGGACCCGCCGTGCAGTTTTGCAAGTTCACGCCTGTAATCAGAGAAAAATTTTATTGTACTATACATAATAATAAAATTATAACAGCGGATAATTAGTAGCGATTGTTTGGAGACAAGACGTTGGCTTATCTTTAACAGTCACATTTCTATTTTGTTGACTACATCACTTCCATAAACAAGTTAACGAGATTCGAATGATGATTTTACGGTTCGAGATAATCGGGAATTTTTTTTCACCAAGATCTTCGCGATCTTCGAAGTCAGTTGAATGCTCCGTTAAATTAACAATCGCCTGCGTAATTGCTGTGACGAAAGTGGTCACGGTCAAATATCTCCGGGTTCGTGCGCATTAATTTAAACTGCAAGTGATCTCGTGATCCCGTTATTGATGCCGTCTTTCAGAATATTGAAAGCGCAATCAGAACACCTGCCGCTCGCAAAGTCTGATTAATAATTTATATTCACACACTTTTAGTAGAAATCGAAGGTATAAAGACTCGATTTCATGCATATCGGAACTGGTTTGCACTGTTTTTACATATTTTATAGCAGCACTAGAACACTATAAGTGCGCGCGTCATTTATTTTGTATATATTATATTCATATATATGCAAAAGAGATTTTAGAACTTTGGTTGGATATTTACTTACAGATACGAAGACTTGGTACAGAAAAGGCAGATGCCATATTTACACGGACGACTATTTCTTTATCAAGAAAAAGAGTCTCTTTGCTGTTAAGATTAATAAAAATATAAAAGATTATACAATTAATGAATTTAACGTTAATCTGAAGTTGAAGATAAAAATTTATCTTTATTTCATTTGTAAGATGAAAATTTCACAATTTGTTATTATTATTATTTTCCTCTTTTAAACTTTTACATCCCGAGAGGAATTTACGTGATTTTAATAAACCACGGTAAAAAAAAAATAAAGAGGAAAGTAGGGTCAAACCGGGTAGGTGGGTCAAACCGGATACCTCTGTTTTTTCGTGCTACTATCTTTGGCTAATTCGTGTTATTAGTTGTAGTGTAGATTGATGTCATCATTATTTTGAGATAAACTATGCCTATGTGCACACGATATTTCCTTTTTGAGAGAAGTTCAAAATTTTCGGGTCAAAAAAGATCGATATCGGGACAACAATTGAATCGTTATGGACTTTTTCTACACACAGCATCTGCTACGGTAAATGCAGCGTTGCATTCTGTACATATTAAATAGTATATCGCATTAGTTTTGATCGTCACTTTGTACGCGGGAATATATAGCCGCCGCTTGTTATTTTCTTCGTGTTGGGGCAAAACCGGGTACCTACATACTTCATGTAATGAAAAAAGGAAAAACTGTTATCCTGACTTTTTGTCTCTCTACAAAAAGCAGTTGAGAAGGAAAACTACCACTCAGAAAAAAAAACCATTCAAAAAAAAGCTTTTTGAGACCCCTAAAGTTAAAAAATTAAATAAGAAAGTCCTGCAGCAATGTAGAACAAGAGGATATCTTTATTTGTGATTTTTGTCAATAAAATACATCTTTGTATTGTATTTTGATTAAAATAAATCTAGATTTTTAATTGCATGATGTTTTACATGTTTTCAAATTTACCCTACCGGCAGAGCAAAACTGGGTATTTTAACTTTTCGACAAAATTTTGTTATTCTTGGTAAACAAATGTTTTTTTTCAGCAACTAGCCTCATTTTCTCATAGTTTAAGATTCACTAAAGACTACTAACGGTCAGCAAAACGGATTACCAATTAATTCGGCATAAGACATCTTATGCAGATCGTTCGTAATTTGCTATACATACGATCAAGCGGCCATTTTGGCAGAATATACGACGTTAATGCAGTTAATTACTAATGGGAATTCTCATCGGAAATCAGAATTTAGTTAATTCGCTGTAATTTGAAGAAGGATAATCGATGCGATATTTTTTGCATGTGATTATTATGACATTATTGGATGTTTATAGCCTTAGCTATAAACATCCAATAAAATAATAGCTAATAATAGCTAATATTATTTGTTTTTTAATTGCACGTTAAATTTATAGATATATGTTAGATTATTGTGGCAATTTTACGCTCTTCGCCCTTTTGCTATATCTTTGATTTTTTAAAGGTTTATTATTTTTTAAAACAATACACTATTTAAGAAAAAATTATTTCAAAAGTTGTCAGAATAATTAAAAAATGTACAATTTTAAAACACGTTTTGCATTAATAATTAAAAATTTATATAAATCTAATACAAATCATGAAAATTTAATTAAGAATAAAAGTATTTTTCCAATGTTTGCAAAATTCCCGAGGAATTTATTGCAAAACTAAAGTGCCATTGAAGTTATTTAGGAATCTTGTTCGCGACGATTGCTCGAATAAAATTTACGGGAATCCTGCGAGTCTCGCACTCGTTTCATCCGCCTAAATTGCACATCGGACGCGCATTCCGCGCTCGTTTTGTGTCAAAGCGATCGGAGGTGTTGTGAAAACGAAAGTAGCCGATGCACAGAAAGAAATGCGTCCCGTCGTAGCATCGACACCAAGCGGGAACCGGTTCTGAGCGAGTTCTGGCATCAGTCCTCGCGGTATAATTCGTCCGTATATTTGAAATCGCCGCCGGTAAAGACCGATAGCTTGACACGGCATAATAGATAATAGATAGAAGAACTGGAAGGCCGATTTTCTTTCTGCGAACAAGGCAACTCGTTCGCTCCCGATGAATGGTTTTATCTGGGCCGAGCCCATAAAGATGGTTTCAAGTAAAACACCGTGTCGCGCGTATTTGCTGAAGGCGTGCACGAATCAAATTAGCCCTTAAATGAACTTGTCTTTTCATTTTTACTTACCCTCATCTCACTTTGTGACACTCGGAAAGAATGTTACAAAGTAGATGATAAATTTTATGCGTGTGGAATGAAAAGAAAAATAAATATTTAATAATTACAAATAAAAACTCAAAACAAAAGATGTATATTAATTTTAAACTACATGTTTCTGTCTTTATAGATAATTTTTCGCAATAACAATTTTATATCACATAATATCATAGTAAAATCTTGCAAATAAAATCTAGGAGTTATTTATGCGCAAAATAAAATTCATACATATTCATTGAAGGACAGATCAATAATTTACGTTCGAAGGTAATACCTGATAAAAAAATCTCATACCTATTATCAGACTATAATTTATAAAAATAATGTTAAGAGCAAAAATTATACATGATAGCCAATAATTCATATATGTATATAGTTATAGCCGAACATTACTTACGTAATAACTCGATGATTAACAGCGTGAGAGACAAGATGGTACCCAAGAAATCGGGAGGGAGGAACTCATTTACAGATGAAGATATCTAATTTCTTGGCACTTGCCGTAAAGTAGGGTATAATTATAAAATTTCGAAGAATTGGGATAGAATTGCGTTGTGCGTCACCGTAATAGTGTCTAATTGCTCATAAATTTCACATTTATTCATAAATGTCATGTGCGCGTTGATCTATATTTGCATCTTATTTTAAATTCTTTTATCAATGTTATCACACAGGTTAAAAGACACCTTTACATCACATCTAGCGTTGAATGTGCAATGAAATAAGCGAGCCATTCTTTTCTAATCACTTAATCACGACTGACTTACATTGGCACATTATTGCAATTAAGAATGACTATAAACGCGTATCGTTATGATCGTAAATTTAAAAGTATGATAAACGTAAAGTTTAATGTCAAAGAGCGCGTATATTTTGAAAAGAGATTACATTTTACGGCGAAATTGTAATCTGACACTTAGTAAAAATATTCCAGGTATAATTAGTACATATTTCTTTGCCGATACTTTTTATGATTGATCGTCAAAACTGTAACAAAGTGCAGCGTGCTAGACAGCTATTAGCCTCGAGGTATTTATTCCAAAATTCTGAATGTGATCGTAAAATTTCGCGGTATCTTACATCAAGTATCGAGAATAACGAGGCGAATTCGTATTAAATCCTTAAACTGGATTAGCTAAGCAAGAGCTGCGCTTTTTATCCGCTACATCGAATTTTTCGAAACTTTTAATTTGCGATTATTACCATTAGATGAATTTAAGAGTATCAATTGAGATATGGTTCAAAGTTTAATACATACATAAGACTTGATGGATGAAATATTGACGAATTTAATTTAGATGAATGTTACATGTAATCAAGAGAAGATATATAGTTTTCATAATTAATATACATCTAATTTGTACGATTAGGACAAGTATTACTAAAACACATGAAAGATTCTCTCGATGTTCTTATCTCTTCCTCTTCTCTCATTTGTGAATGGAGACGTTTATTACTTATATGGTGCCTCGAAATTGTCTAGAAAATCTCGTGTTTCTGAAACAAAGTGTTCCGCGAGAGCGCGAACGCGATAATCGAGATGAGTACTCGCGGGACCGACGGATATTGAATATTAAACGAGAGTGATACCTCCGCTGGAACCTACACTGAGAAAAAAAAGTTGTTAACTTGACTAAATCCGTTCAACTAATTACCATTTTTTAAATTGAAATATTCAAGTATTTAAATCAAATATACGTCATGTTAGATATAATATGTTGTATTTAACTTAAATACTTGAATATTTCAATTAAAAAAATGGTAATTAGTTGAACGGATTCAATCAAATTAACAACTTTTTTTTTCTCAGTGTAGAGACTTGTATTGCAAACGCATTGAAACTGATTTTGAAAATCTTCGTATTCCATCCCTCGTGTTAAGAACGAAAACGATTCTCGATATCGTAGACGCTGCTCAAAATTGTGTGGACCTTTATATTTCGTTATCCATGATTTCGCGAATCGACATCTCGAGAAAGAAGCGATTATCGAATCTAGCAAGCGTAAACCATAGGAAGATCCGTGAGAGAGAATGTGCGATAGTTAAATATATATATTGCAGATGAAGCAGCGAAACAATCGCCGCTCTTGATCTCGCACCCTCTTTTATTTCCTTATCAGCAATTTCGCGTTCAAGCTTTTTACGCGAGACGAATTTAACTCGAACAGCATTTAATCTGATACTCGCGCGCCGCAGTTACGTTTACGCGAAATGACAGACGAAAGTGAATCCGATTGTAACAAATACATACACATTCGCGTCTTCGTTCCTCGTCTGCCGACAACTTAATTAGCGGCTGAAAGTGGCGATGCGGTCGGTCGTTGATAATGAGCCGTAAACAGAACGAATCCAGATCGAGAAGGATCTAAAAAAGAATCTTATTTCCCGATTCATATAGTCGGTGTAGAGTGTGTTGACCCGGTCTCGTAGAGATTTAGGAACTGGTATTGGACGGCTTGATTAATATGCATTTTTTCGACATGACGATCAGTATCATGGCAATTCTGAATGTTGAAAACAGGAATTATGTCGCGTTCTTTCCACGATTTACCTAAGCTACTATAATCTTTAAATCGAATTAATTATTCTACTTTAGTAGTTGTGATTAAAATTTCATAAAGCTCACTCTTT